GAGCTGTTACTGTCCATGTGGACCCTGCTATCACACACTTGGTGTGCAGCAAGCTAGTGAGCTGTAAATGTACACCCTAGCTTGCCACGCACTAAATGTTGGTATAGCCAAGTCTTGGGTTTCTTTCCCTTTGTCTGGAACTAGTTAGGAAAATCACAGTGTGAAAATGAGGCGCCGACTTCCTCCTGTGAGCAAGGAGCAGAGACTCCTAGCTTGTGGTTGCAGCTGCTCAATTATGTCTTGTTAATTTCAATGTCACATTTGAGGATGAAATATTTGTGTGTGCAGTGCAGTCATCAGCATATAGACGTTCTAGTTTGTTTCCCGTGATGTGTTTAACAGAATATCACCAGCAGTTTGATTTAAGGCACTGCCGGGCAAGAGGCTGTAGTGTAATTGCGAACTGCTCTCCTTTTTGCCATAAATTATATATGATGATTACTGGTTCTCGCCTCCGTTCCCCTGGCCTGCTCGTTAATTTCTTCTGCCCGTTGACACTGTTCTTTTATTACAGTGCATATCAGTCTGTTTGTTAGGCATTTCTATGGAGATCTCAGTACTTAGTCTCTTTTGTGGTCACTTGTTATCAGGGTGGAAAATCTGAATGAAAAGGAGGAAAAAATGTATATGTAAACTTGGGGGGTTGAGTCCATTTTTTTTCTCTACCGGAGCAGAGATTTTGTCATTGGATAGATGGCAATTTTGGACTCAGACGAGGATTTGGGTTCCAAGTGTCAGTCAGCGCACTCTAAATAGAGATGCCAAAAACTCCAGGTGTGTAGAGTTGGACATCTGGATATGCATTTATAATTTTCACTAGACATGGACTGACACACAAAATTTAAAGTGTAATCCTGAAAGTCTGTACACAGACAATGGAATCTCAGGCCACAAAATAGAGAAAATAGTTAGCTAAGGCCTGGCATGGACAGAGTTTTTGAAGCACTAGTTGTATTTGGTTTAGAGGGGTGAATATTTTTAACAGATGTAGTTATGCTGGTATAACGCCTTGAGGATGCAGTTACACCAATATAAAAGGTGACTTATACCAGCATAGTTTATAGCGTATTCTTGTAAAGAAAGTGCAGTGGTGGTACAAGAACCTTCTATACTGATGTAAGTGCATCCACACTAGGGGGTCGTACCAGTACAGTGAGTGGCACAACTTTTGCGTGTAGACTAACCCTGAGATGCTCTGTGGTAATTATCCCCACTGAGCGTCTGTCCGTGGAAAGAGCAGAAGGACGCTGTATGTTGGGAAGAATGTTTCAACAGTGCTAGTGAGTGCTGATTTTGAAGAAGGTTTAAACTAGTTGGGTGGGGAGGGGAACCCCACACTTCTCCAAGTCTTACTAAAATCCAGCGGGGCACTCTACTTGCCTTACCTGCAAACTTACTGCTTAATTAAGGCATGTATACTCTGTGAAGTCCTGTGTTCTTGCTTTGGAGCCATGCACTGGAGTTTGGCACCTGTGTAATGGGTATAGTTGGGGCAGCAGAGTATATGGTTAAGTGAACAGCTATGCATGGGGGAAAGATGCACATTCTTTAGGCCTGAAATTACTTTGAAAAGTGCCAGTGTCACAGTGAGACTTTTGAAATATTCAGTTAGCTTTTATCCAGTTTTTTGGTTAAAAAATAATTTTTTCCTCCTGATTTTTTTTTAATGGGTCCATATGCTTCTGGGTTCTGTCTGGCACCAGCAGCGCCAACATCCCATAAGAAAAAGCTGTTCCCGCTGTACTTTCAGAAGCAGGAAGTACCAACGTGCTGACAGACGGAGCATATGACACTTCCAGCCCAATTTTAGCAGACCCAGGCTGTTGATAGTTCACCTAAGTATCAGGCCCAGCTCAGTGCTGAACTCACATTAGTGGCTTATCGGCAGGTAATGGTGATTTTAAGCGCTTTGCTTTACAACGTCAACTTTCCATTTTTAATCAAGATTTAAATCAGCAAGCCTTGATTTTAAGTAATCGATGTTAATCTTATTTTGCATTTGCGCTTTTTATTGTTCCTAAAGACAGGTCGATTGTCACTGGTTGGTGTAATTTGGTGGTACTTTTTGCTAACCAGGAGGATGCACTAGATCTATATGCATTTATTCCAATTTCTATGTAATTTTTTAATGTTACCCATTTATTGAACTTTTAATTTTTTATATTAGAAAATGGTGAATCTCATTTAATAGAGGAATAACTGCAAGTAAAAAAATGTCAGGCTCCATGTGGCTAGAAATTGGAAATCAATTCAAAATGTACAAAAACTGCATTATTTAGTAAATGAAACTACCTTAAATATGCTGGGCACAGAAGTGTTTTAGTAAATAAACTGCAGGCAATACTTCCTTTATCAAATCAGTGTGATTGTAAAACTAGTGCCCTTCACAATCAAACTCATTCTGCATTTAAATTGGTTCCAATCCTGAAGGACATGGTGACATCTAAATCAGGGTATGTGGCTGCTATAGTAGCCCAAAAATGGGGTGGTGCAGCCTGAATCCACCTTTCTGAGAGGCTATAGCTAAGTCGACAGAAAAATTCTTTGTTGATCTAGCTGTATCTACAGTAGTGGTTAGGTCAACCTAACTACGTTGCACAGGGCAGGAAATTTTTCCAAGCCCTGAGTGATATAAACTAAATAAACCTTGATCTACATCTGAGGCCTAGTCTATACCTAAAAATTTCTGCTCTTCTAGATTAGTATCCTTTATTTTCTCTCACTCTGAACTTATTGTGGGAAACTACCTACACGCAATGAAGCATTATTAAACTTGAAATGAAAGATTAGATGGGATTTTTTTTTAACTTCGGATCATTTTTTCCCATTGGAATCTTACGGTGGGTAAAGTATAAAAGCGGCTACAACTATTAAAGCCAAAATTGCATGTGACACCGTCTGTCAAGCACTCCAGTAAACATTCCTTATGGAATCACTGAACTAACTTTTTTTAACCCAATTTTGCTAATACAAAGCTAGTCATTCTCAGTGTGGTCCAATAAAAGATATCACATCACCCACCTTGTCTCTTTCAAATCATCCAAAGCGTTACTGTGATTAGTTCCAGAATGCTTGTGTAAGAGCATGTGTCAATCTTTGCAGGATCGCGATCTTAAGGGGCCAAACTTTTAGTAGATTAATATCACCGAGCAGAATTTGACTCGGTTGGCTTACGTAGGTAACATTCTCCTTTGCAGAGAAAAGAGAACCATGCCAGGTTTCGAGTGCTAGGTGATTTCAGGATGATCAACAGTAATTAACGAGTGTCAGAGAGATGACTCCAGAGCTCAGTTGTAATTCACTGTGCTAATTCCATTACAAGGATTAAAACTTGCCTCTCGCAAGGATCTGAGCCAGCTAAAGAGATTCCTGTCTCCCTGAAAAGCTTTCTGACATTTGTATAATCATTTTATACTAACCATTGTGAGGTTCCCAGAAATAACATCAGCGAGAAGTAGCTACTCTTGAGAGAATCGCCATTTCCTCCTTCATTGACCTCCCACTGAGCCTAAAATGAGCAATCCTATTTTTCTTTCTTATTAATTTATATCAACTTTCCTGTTCCAAAGATCCTTTTGTTTGAGACTCTCAAAGCACTTTACAAGCAGAAAACCCTTGCAATAACCTTCTAACAATTTTTTTTTTAAAGAGGTGGCTCAATTTGGTGAACACCTTTTTGATTCCTTGACATTTTTCACCAATACGTTTTTGTGTGTGTGTGTGTGGTGGTGGGGTTTTAGGGGGGGGGCTGGGGTTTGTTGGATCACCTGATTCTTCTTGGTTTCATGCCATTTCCAGGGTCTGAAACTGTTCCCCACTGGAGCATGAAAACTCAAATATCAATTCACACACATGCTCACACTCATGGATGTTGAAAAAGCTGTAGTTAGCCTGAAGAGCAGGTTGGGGTGGTGCTCCCAAAGCCAGATGGGGCAGCAGGTTGAGCTGGAAGGGAAGAGGTTCTCTATTCTATTCCTACTTCAGCCCCATTAGCCCCTTAATTAACGCTAGGCATTCACTACCCCCTCAATAATGTAAGAAAATGGTTTTGTGCCACAGCTCAAGTAAAGGAAGGCTATTTGGGGAGGGGGTTGTGGTGGTTGATTGTTAGTAGATTTGTTTAACGCATACTCAAGTACACAGCGATTCTTTCTCCCCTTAAGCAATTTGTGGACTTCAAAGCCGGCCTAAGTTTAAATGTACGTTTGCTACTGGGTTATAAGTGACGAAAAGGGAAGAGAGTGTAGGGGAAACTGGTGGGGAAGACTTACCTTGCTTGTGGAAGGACACTAAGCAATTGACCCCCCCCCCCAATGGTTCAGGTATTGAACCTGACAAATGTCACAAGATCTAGCTTGTATGAAGATGGGGGTTAGTCAGATAGAGCACAGGTTCTAAAACTGGGGGGGCCTGACCCCCTCAAGGGTTGCGAGATTATTACATGGGGTGGGGGGAGGGAAGAGATTGCAAGCTGTCAGCCTCCATCCCAAACCTTGCTTTGCCTCCTACATTTTACACTATTATTAAACACTTTAAATATGAAAAAAATTATAAGGGGGGGGGGTCACACTCAGCAAGCCTTTTTGTGAAAAGGGGCCACCAGTACAAAAGTTTGAGAACCACTGATAGTGTCACTTAAAGGGAATATAAAATGCCTAGGGTTCCTATGAAGTAGTCATAAACTCTACTTAGTAGATGACCTTTTCAATCCTTGTAAATGTACTGGAAACCATACAAGATATCAGTTTGATACTTAAAACACTTCAGCCCCCCTCTCCATGCCCAATTTTAATGGCTATAGAGTAAAGAAGATTAAGGCTCAAATTCTGAGGGCCATACTCAGTTTTCACTGGGCTTTTAAGCAGACCAATCAATGCTCATTGATAATAGTCAGGTCAGTTCCCATTAAACCCTTAGGAAAGGATCTCAGGATTCAGCTAGAGTTTCATAACAGAGGAAGAAAGAAAAGCTTAGAGAGAGAAGGCATAATAACTTTTCACCACCTTCAAACTCTGGTTGGCAGTTGCCAGAGTTTTCATTTAAACTCTCCTCTTCGTTGATGATGATGTTTTCAATGTCCTTCATTGTTAAATGGTCCTGGAAGGCATGATACAGAATATGTTTGAGCTCTTCCAGCGTTATCCTTTGCATGTCAAACTGTGGGAATAGGAGAAAGCATTTCAGTTAGTTTGCGTAACTGGTAACAAGCCATAAATGCTTTTAGGGACCCTCTCTCCACATCTGAGCACATCTCAATTTGCTGCACACTCGTTCTCTCAGGGTGAAGGAAAAGGCCCCAGAGGTTATTTTGCAAATTCTTTTCCATACTTCTAAAGACCACACTAGAAATGACGGCTATCCATCACTTCCCCTATTATGTCTGTATTGCCTATGGGCCTTTACAGGCCTGCATGCGCCCTAGAAGCCAAACCCAGGATGGGTTCTATGAGAAAACGGCCGTACCCATGCCACGACCCAGCAAAGCTTGTTTTTGGTAGGATCTCTATACACTGGGCTGCCTAGCAGCATCTTTCCCTAACCCCTCCCTCTTATTTGTTCTGACTTCTCTTTCCTAAAAACTTACTACAGGGAGCTGGCATGTTCATCTTCAAGTATTCATGAGCATATGGCAGGTAGGTGCTGCTCCCGCACCGTGTCTGTGCCCATCCTGAAACTGTGTCACTGCTGCAAAAATATACTGAAACCGATGGGTCTCATTGGAACACAGTCCCCTGCCCTTCTCCAGAGGGGACATCTTTGCTTTTGGGTAACTGGCTGGGAATTTAATGTACCATTAAACAGACACTATTTTTGTTCATTTTTTTTATATCCTATATGAATATTTATATATATATATAAAGAGAGAATATTTATTTTAGGGAACTTATTGCTTGATTTATTTATTGAACAAAAACACTAGAGGTTTACATGCAACCTCTGTATCAAAAGAAATGCCCACCTCCTGAAATGAAAAAGGAATCCAAACTACACCTCTGGCCTACTGAGGTGATTGAGAAAAATAAATTACCACTTGTGTCTGCTTCTTCCATTAAACACACACTGACAGCAAGTAATTAGATTTCTTATCCAACAATTTCATAAACCATAGGAGCAAAAGAGAACCCCCCCCCCAAGCAATTAGATAAGCTTATCTATTCGTAGTTAACAGGAAAACAAAGAGAAGTTTAGCATGGAAAACAGCTAAGGCCCTGTTCCCTGACCACCTTGTCCTTCACTGATGAAAAACCATTTGCCTATGTGAGAAAATGAGCTTTCAAAAGCTGTTCTTGATACCTTTTAAAAATATTTTTGCATATAAATAAACACGGATTCATTGATCTGTAAAATTCTAATTAGAATTTATTTCTTTTTCATGTGACCTGTAAAATCTGATGCCAACAATGTTATCGCGCAGAGAGCAGGAGACAGCATGGGCAATGGTGAACAGTGCAAGCGCCTCATGTAGCTCCCAACAGACCCCCGCCTACTGGGGTTGGTTGCTTTTTTGCTGGATTTGGGACACCGCTGACCTATGAAAAATATCACCAAAAGCACAGTCACCAGCAGCAATCTATAGACTTTGCTGGCGCTAGAAGACACACACACACGTTGGGGGTATACTGACAAATTTCCCACTCGTGTTGTAAGCACGGAAATCTGTATACTCTTCTTCTGATTTCTTTCAGAACTGGTATGAATAGGAAAAATGTTTCTCCTGGCAACTAGAGCGCTGTAAACATAGGCTAACAGAAACTTGGCTACCTCACAGGGGTGTCGGAAGCATTAATTACTTGATGTTTTATATGACGCTTTGCATTTTCAAAGCACTCTACAGAGCCAAGTGTCATTTGATCATTTTTACCCCCTTCTGAGGCAGTGTTTTCAGGCTGGCACCATGCTGAGGTGAATGGAGTTGCTCTGGATTTATACCAGATTTACCTCTATAGTATCTCTGCTGCAAAATATGGGCCAAACTGAGCTTTGTTAAAATGCAGGGGGTTACCATGGGTCTGTGAAACACCCAGAGCCCAACAGTGTCTCGCCCACATACTGGGAACATGCTTTCTCACCTGCCCTGTAGTTCTGCTTTCCTCTCTTTTGGTGTGGACAGGACTCACATTAGGGGTTACGCTTGAGTTAACTCTGCAGTGAAGCCATGGCCTTATTGGCCAAAGGAGGCATGGTGGTCAGTAGTTGATGCTGTAATAGTGCTTTTTTTCCCCTCAAAGGGAGCTCTCGGAAGCCAGCGCGTGAGCTTTTGCACAGGAGTTCATAGCTCCGCCCTACAGAGATTTTTTTTTTTTCTGTCTGCCCCATAGCTAGCTTTAATCAGGGGTGCCTGCAAACTCTAGAAAGCACAGCCTGTGACTTCATGGCCGATGTAGTAATAAGCACAGCTCGTGGTCTCTGTGCTCTGTAAGCTAACTCACATCGTACATTTGAAAGTTCCCCAACATAGGCGTGGAAATGCCATCTTCTCGGGCGTCCACCAGTCACTGGTGTTCTGTCTCCTCAGGCATTTCTGTAAGTACTAGCGGATGGTGCTTTTGATATTCCACCCTTTGCCCGTGTGGTCTTATAGAAGGAATGTGTTGGCTATTTGCCTCTTGGGACATTCTAGGGAGAGGGGCTCTGGATGGGCTAGTTTCAGGGAGACTGCATGTCAACTTCACGGGCAGCGGGTATCAAAAGTAGTACTGGGACTTCCCTCACTCCATCACAGACATAGGAATAGCCCCAGTGGATCTGACCTGTGGTCCATCTAGCCCAATATCCCATCCCAGACAGCGGTCAGCATCAGCTGCTTCGGAGCAAGGTGCAAGAAACCGCCCAGCAGGCAGATAAGTACGTTTGGATAGCAGCGCACTTCAGCTACAGTGTGGTTGTATCCCATGTCAATGGGCAACTGGCGAAGGACTCTCTTGAGGTTCTTTGGAAGAAATCCTTGGTGGAAAGGATCTGCCATGGCTCTTTTGGTGACAAAATACCAAAGTATTCCTCGGCAGCAGAACTGCTGCCTTACGATCATAGCAGGGGCACGCTCTCTCCTGTGAGCCCCCCGCACCAAGCAGCACCACTGCCCCTTGTCATACCCGTTTTGTTCCCGGAGGTTGAGCCAGCAGCCAATTGGGCACGTCCAGACTTATTTTCATTAAGACATGGAGCCACTGACTGAGTTGAACAGTAGAAGAGTGGGTTTATAATTGGATGCAGATATATCCTGTCTTGTGTCACACACCTTACCTAGATTGCTCGTTGGGCTGGGGGGCCCCAGGTAGGAAACCCACCCCTGCAGCACTTGCTCACGCCATCCGTGAGCCTGTGCGTGGAGTTCTTCTGCACGGGCCTTACTCTTCCCAAGAAGAGGAGAGGATAAACAAGAAAGGGCTCAGCACCAATCCCTGACTCAGTCCCGCCTTTAGCGATCGTCCATCTGCAATAAGCACGGAGCTTGGTAATGAAGCGTTTGCGGGATCAGGCCTGTGGTTTGTGAAATGTTTTGTCATCTTTGGGGATGAAAACTGCTGGAGCTATGAACAGCACCTAGAAACTCAGCAGCCTGAAATATTTTCCAGTTTGAGCCCACACCTTCTGGCCCAATCAGTCTTAGTCAGAAATGTCCTTTTGCCATTAATGTGTGTTCGTAACACAATCATTAGTTTTGGTGAAAAGAGCATTGGCGGAAACTGATTTTATGAGCCTATTTTTCATTCTTAGGCTGTAAATTAGGGTTCATACAGCGATGGTAGCTTTCCTGAAATAAGCATAAAAGAATAAATTAAATTCAGGGAATTAACACTTTTTTTTCTTTTTTTTTTAAATTTCTCCAAGAGTTCTCTCTCAGTGAATCCCAAAGCAGTCAAACTATAAAACCCTGGCTGTCGCTAAAGAACAAGGTGGAAGAGCATTTATAGAGAGGGAAGAACCCGATCAATGGAGATACTTTTATGGATTTCCTCCCAGTATTATGCTGTAGAAGAGAAGCGAGTCAGCTTGATAAACTGTCTGTTCATCTCTCTCCATTTTCTTCACAAATGAATGTACAGAACTTTATGATCAGAACTCTGACTATTGCCTGTTGGGGATGTACGAAAGAGACGATTATGATTCAGAGGCAGGGTGGTACATCAATAAGCTCAGCTTCTATGTTGATAATCTCCAGGGACAGCACTTCCCTCACCACCTCCCTTTAGCATGCCTCAGTATTAACCTTTTTTCCAGGATTTTAGTCCTGATAGCACGTAGAGAACTGTTGGTTAAAGAAACTCACATCTGCGTGCTGAAAGCCAGAACTAGTTAGCCAGCTCACTATTATCTAAGAAAGAGTTCTAAGTGCATACTTTAAGTCACTTAGCCATGATCTATGGTATATGAAAATCTTGCCATTAACTAAATGCAGAACATGTTATTAGACTCACTGTTACCCCTGAACTGAAATTTAAGGGCCTGTATATACAGGCGGTCAGACAAGGGGAAAAGAGTTTTAAGGTTCTAAGAGACCATTAGATCATCTTATCTATTCCCCCTGTAGATTAAAAAAAGAAATGTTACTCTCAGCCATGAAGTGGGCATTTGAACTTGCCCCAAACATATGGATGTTCAGCGCCAGGGTTCTGGCTTGGCCTTTCATGGAGGGTGGAACTAGATTCACATTTCCTACCGATAAGGGGAGTTGGGAACCGGAGGTTTTGTAATGTAACTCTAACCGGAAATCGCAGGGAAAGTTGTGCTACGTGCTGCACATTGACAGTACCAAAACTGAGTTAAGAGTTTCTGCTTATCAAGACTACGCTGGGCTGTGCATGGGCTCTGGCTGCGTGGATCTGCCTCTAGGATCAGCACCACCACTAGAAATGGAGATGACTATTTGGCCTTGGGGATTTCACACATATCTGATACAGACTTATCCCTATGCTGATGCAACTCTTGTGGTAGGTGAAAATCTTCCAGCATTTCTGATAGTGTCCAACCCAGATATAAAATCATCACAGCTTGTAAAAGAAGGGCATGATTTCCTCTGCTATATAGCATGTAGGCTCAGCTTTGGGGGAGAGAACTTAAAAGTGGACTTTAAGTTTTTAGAACTGAACTGTAGCCACCAACTTGCACGAGCTATGGGAAAAAACTTCTTCAGTAGATGAGTGAGCTTCATATGT